GCGGGGCGGGAGAAAGGGGGGGGGGGGATACGAGCAAGCACATCAACCCCAATTGCATCAGAATTGGCCACATGCCCTCAGCATTTTAAGGGTGCTTTCCAAGGGCTCCCCCCTGGAAAAGCACCTTGTCCCCATTCCGCCTTTTTCCCACAACCCTGGCCTGGTGGTTGTGGGGGTCTGCGGGCAGGGGGGCTTATTTTGATAGGGGTAAATTTCATAAAGGGGGCACCCAGATGCTGCCCCCCCCCCCTCCTTGTGAATAAGAGGTAAAAAAAATTTAAATGACCCAACGACATAATCCAAGGTCAATCACGTCCTCCGGCGATGTCCACACCTTCGCCGACTCGTCGAAATAAAAATAGTCCTGACAACTGCCGACTACATGCGACGAACTCCCGCCGTAAAATGAGCATTTTGACAGGTGTGGACAGATAGGCCGAGCAAGCTCCGCCTAACTGTTGACATTTGGCCGATAAATCGATATTAAAAGATCCTGGCCAAATGACAACAAATAGGCGGTGCCAGCCGTGCACCACCCATTTGCTTTCATGCAATGACAGGCCATTGTTCACAGGTCATTTGAGAACAGTGGGCTGTCATTGCATGAAAACAAATGGGCAAAGTTAGCCGTGATGTCACGGCTGGCTCTGCCCATTTATTGTCATTTGGCCAGGACCTTTCAATAGCAATTTGACAGGTGCCAGACGATTGTCAACAGATAGGTGGAGCCAGCGGTGATATCACTGCTAGCTCGGCCTATCTGCAAGGAAATTCTGGCAACCTCAGTCAGTTTCCCTGTACCAACTTGGCTGTGTGTATGGTTTTCTAATCTTGAATTCATTGCTGCTAGAGGAAGAGAAGTACTGTCTAACACTGGTACTTTCTCTGAAAAGGGGCTCTGATAGGCAGAAAAGCTCACTGAGGCTATAGACCCTTGGAAAAGGTGTAAGCCCCCCCCATATTTTTGTTTCTAAGTAAAGTGTAGGGGTTCCAAGGGTTAAATCTTTTACCAAGAGTCTGTCCTAAGGAGAACTATGGGGAAAAGACTTAACCCCATAGTTCTCCTTTAATGGTAATTTACAGACAAACTTCTTTGTAGTAATCTGATATCCATCTATTCAGAGGGATGTTCAGCTTCTGGAATTTTCCCATGTTTGGTCAGAACTTCCTAAATGCGTATTAGAAAATAACTGATCTAATCTTAGCTCATAAGAGGTGGAGAATTACTACGTTTCAACGAATAGTATTGCTCTTGTTTGTGTTGTGGATCTAAAAGTTGTATTTTTTCACTACACAAACTTTTTTTACATTTAACCAGACATTTCTAATTACAGAACAAAAATACTTTTTCTACATGTGCTTTTCATGCATGTTTGTTTACTCACAGTCCTGAAAAGCTTAGCAGGCTGCAGGCTCTTGCCAGATAAAAAGAACGATTGGTAAACTCATGCAGCATGCTCCACATTGAAACATAGGGGTCTATTCACGAAGCTGCCGAGGACAGCAGAGTGAATGACCGATCTGAAGTGAAGTGAGCCGAACACTGTTCGGCTATTCACTTCAGGCTGGTACGGCTAATTTCAGCCGTACATCGGCTTGCTTCGTGTCGGCCGAACATGCTCAGCATGTTCGGCCGACCCAAAGTGCAGAAAGAGTTCGACTCAGCCTATCCAACATCTGGATCGGCTGAGCCGAACCTCCGGCAGGCTACTCACTGCTGTTCGGGCTATTCTTAAAGATTCGGCATTCGATTGTGCGGAGCTAGCAGTGACAGCTAGCTCCGCCCAATAGTTTGCTATTGTCCGGCGCCTCTGCTGCTGTAAAAAAAAATAAAAAAACTCTCCCGGGCGCTCTGGGAGCCTCCCGCTCCCGGCCACCAAGGAGAGAAACAGGGCTGTGTCCTTTTTTCTTTATTCTGACACGTAGCGATGTCAGAAAAAAAAAAAGAAATTCCCATTGAAAAGCATTGGGACATTACTATTGGCTATTTCAATTTGCAATAGCCAATAGTAAACTAGCATTGTACCCGCCCTCTGCTGATGGGCCTGATGGGGAACTGCAGCAGAGGGCGGGTACAATGCTAGTTTTCTTTTTCTATTCTGACATCGATTGTGTCAGAATAAAAAAAAAAGGACACAGCAGTGTTTCTCTCCTTGGCGGCCGGGAGCAGGAGACTCCCGGGGCGCCAGGGAGAGTTAGCTGTTTAGAGATCAGTGTCCCTGGTTAGCAGGTAACCAGGGACGCTGATCTCACTGCAAGTGGCCGGAGCCAGCCGTAAGATCATGGCTGGCTCCGCCCAGCTGTCAGAAGCAGGCTTTCGGCTTTCAGCCCGGCTCAGCCGAGTCGATGCATATGCGTTCGGCTCGGCTGAGCCGCTCGGCCATGATCGGGAGCTGTACGGGCTATTGTGAATAGCCCGTACAGCACCCCTTCGGTTCTACTGAACCGAAGGGGTCCTGGGGCCGAAGCTAGCCAAAGGATCGGCCGAAGCTACGGCCAGATCCTTCGGCAGCTTCGTGAATAGACCCCATAGTCTCTTCTCCCTTCCCCCCGTGCATGTGCTGTTCTAAACAGGGAGACACAAGGCTCACTTCTATATTACAGAGGCAGAAATCAGTGACATTGTTGTGGTGTAATCAGACAGAACTCTGTAGACAGCAGAGAACACACATCTCTATTTACAATAGGGGCTATTTTAGGAAATAAGTCCTTCCTGCATGAGACTGTTTTAACTCAGGATGCAGTAGTCATGATACTGTGGTCTCTGTTATCTACAGAGGTTCACCAGACTATACCAGTGTGATCTTATTGTGTTCTCTCTGCACAGCCTTTGTTACTTGAACGTGAGCCTTCACTTTTTCCATTGATTCCACAAGCCACAGCCTTAAAGTGTATTTCCACTTTTGCAGCCAAATTTAGAGAACACTTTATATTTATTACATATTCACATAGCATAACTTTAACAAAATATTAGAAATGTTCTGCTTACCTTTTATAAATGTTCTTTTCTGAGAACTCAAAAGACATAAAAATCCTACCTAGTGTTTCCTTTGCTCTGTAATGTTTATGAGGGGGCCCCATGCTATGTAATGTTTATGAGGGGGCTGGGGAGTTGCATTTGCCATAATTACCCTGTACTGTGCGGGCAGATTTCATATCTGTTGTTAAACAGATGTGCCAAACTGTGTGTCCTAACAAAGTGTTAGAGATCGCAAGACTTTGTATTGTGGGGCCCTAGTGGAAAGGATGCTATTAAATTTAGTGCTTATCAGATTGTATGTGGTCTGATGCTAATTTGTAGTCTTGGTTCATTTAGTTCTCCCCCTAAACAATCTATCATTGCTTGCCATCTGTCTACTGCCAGAGGTACTGCAGGTTGTGCCCTGGTGATAGAACAGAGCAGCCAACGGGATTGCTAGGAGTAGATATCCCTCCCCAGCCAATCAGTGTCGAACGATAACCAGTGGTACATGCTTGGAGAGGAAATACTCAGGGTGGGCCATGTGAGCTCTCTCTTCCTCCCCCAGGCCCTGCCTGCGGGGAGGCTGCGCTGGACTGCCTGAGTTGACCAGCCCTCAAAGTCTGGGGACTAGCTATGGAATCACCCTGGAGCCTGATGGCAGCTGGTCCAATGGTTGCTACTGCTAAAGACAAGGATCAGTAACTATTACCTCAAGTAATGCAGTGTCAGGTGCTTGACCTGCTGTGCATGGAAGCTGTAACCACTCTCTCTGAAAAGTAATAGAGTCTACATCTGCCTGGATGATCCTAACCCTCCTCTACCTCTCTTCAATAAAAGTTTCAAGCATCATAACCACAGTCTGGACCTCACTTCAATCGTTCAACAGAAAGGTGGTAAGTGCTGATGGGCAGAAGCGAGTAAATGTATCCCTGGACAAGAAGAATCGGAGCTGTCATAACCCATAGCAACCAACCCTAGTAACTCAAGGTGTGCTGGTGTATTGTGGATCCATAATAGAGGTTTCTTATAGAGGAAAGACAGGGAGATCCGTTAGTTTATTTTACTGTAGAACACCCCTTCAGAGCCATCAGTAGTGTTATCCTGTGCTGGGATAGCGCTGACCGGGAAGGGGGAGCGCTACACTATCATGAAAATATTTTACAACTATAGCAATGAAACAAGAAAAGGCAGTTAATTTAATGTGTCCTCAAATATAGCAATATTAAATAATACCTTACCTTCCTTTTGTTCCAATACAGCAGGGCCTTCCCGTTATTTCACAGTTCATATGCAGATGATTAGGGTAATTCCCATTTGTACTATTAGTACACACCTGAGGAAAACCAAATGAGATACTTCATATACATTGGCTATGATTCTCAGCACGTTTCACACATCTTAAAGAGCTTCAGCTATAACAAAAAAGTAAAAAGAAAATGATGTCCATACACATGAGCATTACCTGCAGAACAATGCTATTTAAACTTCTTAGCGCCAAGTGACGTACAAAGTACGTCATTGGCCGCGGGCCCGTTAAAACTGAGTCCCAGCAGCTTTAGCTGTGTTTACATTTGTAGAACCAGCTGTTGGCTTTACAATAGAAGCGATCCCGGCAGCTCAGCTGCCGTCAGATCACTTCTGCAGCCTGGTAAATTGCACGCACACCCCTCCTGCCCCGCCCGACACCCTGTCGTGTTTCCCAGGCTCCACTGCCCCTCCTGTGGGCCTGGGACCGGCATCTCGGCGGGAAGCTGTGGAGGAGAGCGTCCATTCACCAATCTCCTCCCTGTTCTATGGGACCCGGGAGTGACGCGTATTGGATCACTTCCGGTCCCTGAGCTGTCATTGCTCAGCTCCTGAAGCCCAGCAATAAGCTATTGAAGTGTGATCTGCACTTCAAAAGCTTATTTAAAGTGGAAAGGTGACACTAGGGGTCTTTTGGAACCCTAGTATCCCCTTAAAGAGTACCTGTCAACACCAATATGCTATCACATGGGGGGATTGTAAGCCCCCTATGTGATAGCAATTAAAAGAAAAGTTAGAAAATAAGTTAAAAAAAATAATATTAAATAAAATAAATGTAGAAATAATAATAAAACAATAAATAAAACAACAATAAAACAAATTCACGTAAATGAAAAACGTTGATCGCGCTACACGTTGGGTATTGCCGCACGCACCAGAGTGAGAGCAATAATTCTAGGGCCAATATTTATGCATGTCTCTAAATTGATGACCTGTAGGGGTTTTTAAAGCGTCGTCTATGGACTTTTTGGGGTACTGAAATTTCATTTGCACACAATTTTTAAACTGGGCATGCTGGGTAGCTATTTACTCATTGTAACCTCATCTTTTATATTTTATTTAAAAAAATTGATATTATATTGTGTTGTGAGGCACTAAATTTTACTTAAGTGCCTTTTTAAATACATTTTGGGTTTGATAAAGAGCTGTGTTAATATCATTCAACATAAAAATGTGCAACTTTTTGCTGCCATTTAATTCCACGGGATCTTAGCTTTCAGAAAATATATAATGTTTGAGGGTTTGAAGTAATTTTCAGGCCTAAAATGTGGATTATATCATGTGAGCAACAAAAGAAAAAAAAAGGCCTTGGCAGCGAAAGGGTCCTTAAGGGGTTAAAATATCTGTCTAGTATTTTTTGCCATCTGTGACATCACTTCTCTTCACTTCCTGCTTCATAAACACATTAGGATGTGAGGGGAATTTTCACTGTAACAAGGATCCGTATTTGAAGATTTCCCCTCTATTCTGGTAACGGTTAGATCCCAAAATTTTGACTTTTCTCTCACTTTTGGTCCCTGTAATAATTGTCACGAGGACAATTAGAGTGTGAAACTTCCTAGCAGGGACAATGACTTCTAAAACTTGACAAGGGTTAACAACCCTCCCTTTGATAATGGAACTCTCAGCCTCACTCTGCACAGAGATTTGCCAGCTCACAGGACAAAAATCTGAGTGCCAGTAGATAGAGAATGATTGTCACTGGGGTCAGTTAACTCCGCAGTTAACCCTATAAACATGCGGACAAGGAGGTAACATATCAAACATATTATTGCACAGAACAAAGTCATTGTTAGAGACTAGGGATGCACCGATACCACTTTTCTAAGGCCGAGTACGAGTACCGATACTTTTTTTCAAGTACTCGCCGATACCAATTACCGATACTTTTTCTTAAAGGGACAGGTCACATTTTTTCTAAAGCAATACAAAATCATGATTTTAGGTCAGTTTCTTAATATTATGAAGAACATGAACACTCTATAGTGTGGCACAGCTATATCCAATTCTGCATACCTGGCTTTATATTATAAGAACTTTATAATATAAAGCCAGGTATGCAGAATTGGATACAGCTTCTGCATACCTATACAATAATACACTGTTCTGGAGTCTGGACATGTGATAATCTATTTTCCCCACTAGGGGGATACAAGCCTTAGTTAGCAATGGGTTGATAAATATTAATTTCATTATTCAATGTCTTAAATGTCATTAAATGTTATAATATTAAAAAAAAGACATTGAATAATGAAATTAATATTTATCATGCCATTGCTAACTAAGGCTTGTATCCCCCTAGTGGTCAAAATAGATGAGCACATGTCCAGACTGCAGACCAGAACACAGTGTGGCACAGCTACAGCCAATTCTGTATAACTGGCTTTATATTATTATTACATTTTCTTATAATATAAAGCCAGGTATGCAGAATTGGATATAGCTGTGCCAGTCTGTGTTCTGGTCTGCAGTCTGGACATGTGCTCCTCTATTTTGACCACTAGGGGGATACAAGCCTTAGTTAGCAATATCTACATAGTTATTTTCTTTTTTTTAAATAATATATGCCGGGAAACAGCATTTTTGTGCCCAGCCCCATGAGGTGCGACAGTACTAACCTGCTGTGTCGTCTTCTCCGTCTGCTTCAGCCACTCCGTGTCACAGCCTAGTCATCTGCTCCATTCTGACCTCTTCTCCCGCTGATTGGCCGATTGGATGATGACAGGCTTCCTCACCAGTCACTCCTGACTGGTGAGGAAGCCTGTCAATCATCCAATCGGCCAATCAGCGGGAGAAGAGATCAGAATGGAGCAGATGACTGAGCTGTGACATCTGCTCCATTCTGACCTCTTCTCCCGCTGATTGGCCGATTGGATGATGACAGGCTTCCTCACCAGTCACTCCTGACTGGTGAGGAAGCCTGTCATCCATCCAATCGGCCAATCAGCGGGAGAAGAGGTCAGAATGGAGCAGATGACAGAGGAGGTCGCGGCCATCTTGCTTCATTGAAGACGCGATGGAGGTCCTGTGTGCGGCGGATTCGTGTCCCTGAAGATGGCGGACGCGGCACAGGTACTCGTTTTATGTATCAGGGTATTTGCACGAGTACTCATGCAAATACTCGGTATCGCCGCCGATACCGATGCTTGTATCGGTATCGGTGCATCCCTATTAGAGACTAAGGGGACTATTCACAAACCTGCCAAAGGATCTAGCCGTAGCTTCGGCCGATCCTTCGGCTAGCTTCGACCCCAGGACCCCTTTGGTTCAGTAGAACCGAAGGGCTGCTGTACGGGCAATTAACTATGGCCGAGCGGCTCAGTCGAGCTGAAGGCATATGCTGTCATTACTCTCCCGGACGCTCTGGGAGTCTCCCGCTATTAGATAGCGGCTCCCGGCCGCCCGGGAGAGAAACACTTTCTCCTGGAAAGTTTTACGCTGCTCGATCAGCAGCTGTCAGAATACTAAAAAAAAACCTTGCAGATAGCAAATAAGCTATTGCTTCCTCTGCTATCTGCCATCATTTCAATTGTTTTCTATTTTTTTTTCTACTTTTAACTGTTTTTCTATTCCGTCATTCGGCTATTCACTCACTGCTGTTCGGCATCTATGAGAATAGGCCGAACAGTAGCGAGTAGGATCGGCTGAGTCGAACTTCTTCTGCACTTCGGGGCGGCTGAACATGCCGAGCATGTTTGGCCGACCCGAAGCCACCCGATGTACGGCTGATTTCAGCCGATACACGGCTGATATCAGCCGTACAAGCCTGAAGTGAATAGCCGAACAGCGTTCGGCTCACTTCACTTCGGGTCGGTTATTCACTCGACTGCCTACGGCAGTTTTGTGAATAGACCCCTAATATTATATAACCCGAATGCATGCAATGCCTAGGAGATGCAATGTGACCAATTAGTCTTCTGTACGTTACAGCATGGTCATGTTTGGCCTTCAGCTGATTGGTATTCTCCTGTACATTTGTGTAAACACTTGTTATTAACTTAGCTCATTACTTTGTGTAATGCTGTTTAAGACAGGTAATTAGCCATTAAGATCAATATGGGCTAATTACTGACCCTCACTGTTCTAGCTTGAGCTATGTTGATGGAATTTATGGTACTCTGCTGTGTCCCTGATGCTAACTTGTGAATTTTGGAAAACATGAGAGTGAGACTGTGTTCTTAGTGAATCGCCATTTTCAGTTTGGGCCTTCCTACTTTATAGAAAAATAAAAAAACACAAGTTTTGGTTTTAGATACACTTTAATCTTAAACCTCTTATCTGCCCTTACCATAGGCCAATAGATAACTTCTTGGAAGGTGAGCAGGCAGAGATGCATTTTATCAGTAATGATTATTACTTCTACACTTGCCACCGCCATCTGTCAGATCTGGCCTTTGCCTTTAATCACTTTACATTTAGGACCCATTCCCACTATCACGTTGAGGTAAGGCACAGTAACATAGTGTGCATTGTGCTGTGTTGTGTTGAGGAGCATTGCAGCCTATTCATTTTAACGCCAAAACATGGCTCCATGCACAGCAATGTATACACTTCAGTGCATGACGATGTAGTGCAAAACAGCTTATAATAATTTCATCTGGTTCCATATACTAACAGACCACATTTCTTGTTTTTAGGTATATTTAAAATTTTGCAAACAAAAAAAAATAGGTTCAGTCTAAAAATGTATTATTATCCAGCAATTCCCCCAACCCATGTGTTTCTTTACTGTCTCCACAAAAAACAAGGTAACAGTGCCAAAGTACTGCAGGCATCCTAAGGTGCATCACCTGCTTCCCCAATTTTCAGCTGCAGGGCTCCAAAAACTCTTATCCATGTGGGAGGCTGGGGTGAACTGCTTCTACTGTTACAGTTTCTTTGCTATCTATTAAAGTCCAACTCAAGACAAAACACTTTAATGCTATGGATAGGGTAGGGAACAGTCAGAACTCATGTCAGGTTTTAAATAATGCAAAAAAACAAAAAAGACAGAGCGCCCACCCTGTGTAGTACTGGTTAATTTATTAAAATAGTTTAAAAAAACAAAATGGCTACTCACAAATATAGCGAGATAGCAATCATCCATGATTAGAAAGTGATCTCTATATAGTCCAGGAGAAAATCCACAGTCCTTAGTCCGGGTTGATAAGACAACACCATCAGCTGTGGTAGAAGCAGTTTACCTAAGGTTCTGATGAAAGGGGTGAGCCCCAGGAAACGCGTCAACCGCTTCTGCCACAGCTGATGCCGGTGTCTCAACCCGGACTGTGGATATTCTTCTGGACTATATAGAGATCACTTTCTAATCGTGGATCATTGCTAAAGCTTTTTATGCCGCTACATTTGTGAGTAGCCCTTTTGTTTTCTAAAACTATTTTAATAAATTAACCAGTACTACACAGGGTGGGCGCTCTGTCTTTTTTGTTTTTTTTGCATGTTTGGACGAGAGCTTTCCAATCTGAGGAGGAGCAGCATCCCTGGGTCAGTCTAATCAAAAAGTGGGATAGCTATTGGCTGCTAGCGCCAGAAGAACTTTTTTTTTATTGCTAAGGTTTTAAATGATGTCTGTGTTCCCTTTGAGGAAAGTTACCCTCTATTCTGTCTGACAGCCATTGAATGGAAAGCGACAGAAACAGCAATAAACCTTCCTCACTCTATGCAAAACTTAAAATAATTTGTCTGGAGTTGCGATTTTAGACAGGTTTTCTCCCCTCCTCCTTTCCACAGCTTAGCAATGAAGTCAACGAGCATTTACTTGTTAGTGTAGAGTGATTCTCTCCAAAAAATATTTAAAACAGATTCAACATAAAAGAACGCACATACCGGCCATTTTGTGATGTCGTCAGGCCATTCGTGTGGAGGCACTGAAGCTGGTTCAGCACAAAACCTAAAAATAAATGATTATCTGTTACTGAATTTCCCAGCATTGAAAATATTCATTTCAATATAACAAGTCTGTTTCTATGGAGAAAAAGAAATAGGGATGCACCGATACTTTGAGTACCAGTGCAGACACTTGGCATTTTCATGAGAACTACCGGGGTTGCAGCGGTTGCAGCTGGGACCTGGCTCTGGAACTCCACCACTGTCCTGAAATCATTAGTCTGTATTGTTTTAGAAAAACTGTCACATGACAATAAACAAAAATGTATCAGTACTCGTACTTGTAAGTACTCAGCAAGTACCAGTACTCGTACTTGCAAAACTGGTATCTGTGCATCCCTTTATTTATATTTATAAAAACAAAATCGTACATTACAACAGAGATGTACAAATCCCAGGAGCTCTGTGTGCTCCTTACAAATGACAGCTGCCTCCTAATGTTTTAATTTTTCTCTAGTCTAGTCTTGGAGCTCAAAAGTATCGGTACATGTACTCGTACTTGTACTGAGTACTGTACTTGGTATCTGTGCAACCCTAGTAATAATCTGTTACATTTTCAGAGATTTATTAGAAAGTGTCATTAAACAGTCAAAGAAACTGCTGAAGAGCAATGGTAAAGTCAGTCATTAAATGTAACGATAAGTATAAGACAACTTTGACTCCAGTTTTATAAAACATGGACTAACATTGAAATGTGGCCCCAACTAAATTGTCTAAAATATTTTTTGAAACACTTTGAGGGGAATTTATTAAAACTGGAGCAGATTTGCACTGCAACCAATCAGCTTTTCTGTCTCATTTTCAAATCTTACCTGAGCAAACTGAAGAGATGCTGATTGGTTGCCATCGGCAACTGCTCCAGATTATATCTGCTCCAGTTTTGATAAATCCCCCCCTTTGTATATTTCTGTCATTTTACAAAAGCTGTATATAAATATTAATTTTGCACTGGAGATTAGTGTATATATTTATAGGTATTTATTGAGAGGTTTTTCAATATATTAACACTTTTAAGGGGAGAGAAAGCAGTTTTTTTAATATTAAACAGTTTAGATGTTTCCTCCTTTTCTGTGTAGTTGCCAGGAAATCTCCAGTAACGGGGCCTTAGAAAGCAATAAAACCTGATAGAGGTTCTAATTCTTCTCTATTCTAACCAAAACTAAAAAATACCTTACGGTTGAAGTTAGGCTTTAAATCTATAAGATGATGGTCTGAATTCACACAATAATTTTTACTTAAAAGTTTGACAGGAACCTCTTATCACGTCTGGGTTAGCTTTCTATCCCAACAGTCTTAGTAGAGGCTCAGAGACAGTAGCTTTGTCTTTCAGGAATGAAGTATACAAATTAAACTCAGGGAAGACTGTAGCTGCAGGGCTTCTTAAATACCTTCCATATGCTTCAACTTTGGATCTATTGTCCATAAAATGCATCCGGACTTTATTATTGTCTCAATATGTGGAATCTTATTTGAAGATATAGTATATCTTCCATTCAATTTACTAGTTGTGCACTGAGTATGCCTTATGTGTAAGCTAAGGATCTAGCTGTGATTGCTATTCAACTGAAAGAGATCAAATACTAATATAGCAACACACGTTATTTGTATGTAATGTTTTTCCTATGAAATATATGTTGCTCTCTGGTTGCCATATATGCACTATTGCAATTCATTTACAGTAGATGATCCCAGAATCATTAAGCCATGTGTGTGGATTTTTATGAAATAAGTATTCATTATAAAAGTTTATGTATTCTTGTGACAATGTTTGGAGGTCTATTTATAACCAATTCTCAGATCCATTCACCCTGTAAATGTTTCTAAATGTTTGTTTTAGTGAACAGATGCAGAAACAAAAGTTCTTAGATATATTTTCTTTTCAGGTCAAATGTATGTAATGTGATACTGCATTTTGCCCACTAGATGGAGCTGAGGAGCATAGGAAAGTAGTATTTGTTTCCTGTGCTCTTCAGCTCCATCTCGTGGCCATGGTGTAGTATTACACTACATATATTCAACCTGAAAAGAAAATATAGCTAAGAACATTGAGAACATTTGTTTTCACATTTATTCACACAGACCAAACCTTCAGAAAAATTTGTAAGGCAAATGCGCTGTGAATTGGTTATAATATAATTATTTTGGAATGGATCGGTAAAAGTATATATTCTTTTTTGAACGTTTGAGTGTCTTCTTGGTAGTTCTATGATTACAATAGTTACATTTTGTCAACAGCATTTACTGTATATATTTTATTAAAACTGTATTAAAAGAGAACTATGGGGTAAGTGTTTTTTTCCCATAGTTCTCTAGGGTCATAGTTTTTTTCCCATAGTTCTCTAGGGTCACGGGAGGACATATACTAGCGTCCTCCCGTGACCCAAAGCTCAGTATATAGCGGGCTATTACCTGCGATATACTGAGAGCGTTGCAGCCAGGACGAATCCCGACAATACTGGCTGGATCCACCCAGCTGCGTGAGTGACAGCTGGCTCTGCCTATCTAGAGGAAGAGCCAGCTGTGCCCCGCCCCTCCCCCATCCGTTCCTCCACTCAGCGCTGGAGGATCGGAGAGGGGTGAAAATCCCTGCGGGCAGCGGTGACTGACAGTCACTGCTCTCTGCAGGGAGACGATCGAGAAGTGAGCAGATCATGTAGGTTTCTGCTCACTTCCCGATCGATAGAGTGTGACAGCTTCTTTGTCCCAGGTCGGCTCTAACTATGGGGATGCGTGGAAATCACTCAGCTCATAAATGTCCTTTAAGTAAATGTTATGTCAATGTTTTTTCCAGTCTTAGCAGGAACACTGTCAATAAGCTTTTTTCATTTTTCCAAATGTAAATTATGTTCTTTATTGAGCAGTTAATGAACCTCTAGTGTATGGTGCTTGCTGCAGGATTGTTGGAATTCTCTTAATTGCAATTGTATAGCCTTAGAAGCTAGTGTCACTTCCCTGCCAAGTAAATATTCCAGTCTACTGAGTAGTAGTAGCTAAGTTCAGCAATATATTATAAGATACTTTTCTCTGGCAGTTTGTTCCTTCTGTTACAATGGAAATGCTTTACACTTATATAACATAGAAGTGTATAATAAAAATATACAGCTTAAAGAAAAGTATTTTTTTATTACTGCAATAATTTCCTCAAATAACTAGTCAAGTGGTTTATTAAGAAACACAAGGGAATTAAAAATATATCAAAATCAAAAGTTTCTCAGCAGCGCAACATGTTTCTAAATAGGAACAGCCTTATTAGATTCTATGAAGAAAATTAAACTTTTAATCTATGGGGTCTATTCACGAAGCTGTCGAAGGATCTAGCCGTAGCTTCGGCCGATCCTTCGGCTAGCTTCGGCCCCAGGACCCCTTCGGTTCAGTAGAACTGAAGGGGTGCTGTACGGGATATTCGCTATAGCCCGTACAGCTCCCGAACATGGCCGAGCGGCTCAGTTGAGCCGAACGCATATGCATCGGCTCGGCTGAGCCGCGCTGAAAGACAAAGCTGGCCGAACCGACAGCCTGCTTCTGACAACTGGACGGAGCCAGCCGTGATCTTACGGCTGCCTCCGGCCACTTGCAGAGAGATCAGCGTCCCTGGTTACCTGCTAACCAGGGATACTGATCTCCAAACAGCTAACTCTCCCTGGCACTCCAGGAGTCTCCTGCTCCCGGCCGCCAAGGAGAGAAACACTGCTGTTTCTTTTTTTTCTTTATTCTGACACGGAGCGATGTAAACTAGCATTGTACCCGCCCTCTGCTGATGGACCTGATGGAGAACTGCAGCAGAGGGCGGATACAATGCTAGTTTACTTTTGGCTATTGCAAATTGAAATAGCCAATAGGAATCTAGCAATGCATTCCAATGGGCAAAAATGTTTTTGTTTTTTTTTCTATTCTGCCACGGCTCAGTGTCAGAATAAAGAAAAAAAAAGAAAAAATCAGTATTTCTCTCCTGAGCGGCCGGGAGCGGAGGGCTCCCAGAGCGCCCGGGAGATTTTTTTTTTCTTTTACGGCAGCGGAACCGCCGGACATTAGAAAACTGTTGGGCGGAGCTAGCTGTCACTGCTAGCTCCGCACAATCGTTTTTTATTTACTTTTTTAAAAACTTTTTTAACCATTTTTCTGTTCTGCTCGGTCCCTCTGAGGGACCGAGCAGAACAGCCAAGCCGAATGCCGAGGTTCGACTCAGCCGATCCAGATGTTGGATCGGCTGAGTCAAACTCCTTCTGCACTTCGGGTCAGCCGAACATGCGAAGCAAGCCAATGTACGACTGATTTCAGCCGATATACGGCTGAAATCAGGCATACAAGCCTGGAGTGAATAGCCGAATAGTGTTCGGCTCACTTCACTTGGGGTCTGTTGTTCACTCGGCTGCCCTCGGCAGCTTAGTGAATAGACCCGTATGAGTCCAGCATGGTGATGGTCCCATGGCTGATGGTGGGGTCGGGAACATAACTGAAGAGGGAGGGACAGAACCTGGTGTAGAGGAGTGTGAGGGCGATGAAGGAACTGATGGTGGAGGGTGGTAAAACTGGGGAAGGGACAAGAACTGATACGAGGATGCCGGGAGCTCTTCATCATATCATCTTGGAGAATAAAGTCTAGCAGGGACATGTGGGATAAATGCAGATGGAGAAGGTGAACGGAAAGTGGACACAGAGAAGATATTAGTGAAAAATGGAAATAGAGGAAGATATGCAGGACATGGGACAAAGATCAAAGGAGGTCCAGATGGCTGGACAGAATCATGGATGGGAGAGTAAAGGAGAAGGCAGTGGGAGTAGCCCATAGACGACATGGTAAAAGAAGTTAGCAGGAGCAGATCATGGCTGAGAAGTGGGAGAGGGGCAGAACAGATGCACACAGTCAGGTATGAACTACTGTTCCTTTGTTCCAAGAACAAAATAAGATGCGACTTTCTACACAAGTCAGAAAGAGGTAGGACTTCAGCCTGTTAATAAAACGGTAGCCAACATTTTGCTCTAGCTACACTGTGGTAGTTAGGTGAATAAAGGGGCTGTACAGTGGTTTTGATATTGATTAAGTGCACTGTGATTGATGGGTCAGAGGACCAGGCACTTTCATACATAAAGGTGAAGAAGCAGTGTAATGAAGGTGCAGAAAGAAAGAGCAGGGGGGCACTAAATTAATATGGAAAGTTATACGGACAACGTACCTGTCTCTGGAAAAAAACGCCCTTTCACTTAGTTTGTAGCGCTTCCCCCCTCGTTTTCTCGGCACTAAATGAATGACTACAAGTACATGAGAATTTTTGGCACAGGATGTAGAAGTGGGACATTTGACAAAACATTGCAGGGAAGGAGCAATGCTGCCACAGAAAAGGAGAACAGTATCAGTATGCTGGAGAGGCAAATTATGCCTCTCCTTAAGATATTTACTTGCTTTTTGATGTTTTTCCTACAAGAACAACATTTCTCCTAGCTTTCTTTTTTCTTTGTAGATTGCTTCTACCCTTTGGATACATTATCAGTTTTAAAAATGATAGTGTTCATTAAACCCAGACTAGGGTTTAACACTTTACAGTAAATTTTACACACCAGAGCCAATGGCATTTGTAACCAAATTAATGTGAAGGTTATGCTGTAAGCCTGTAACACAAGAGGCCTGATCATAGCCTGACAGCTCCTTTTGTATGCTGTATAAAATCTCTGCTGGCTAAAGTTGGCACTCAATTTTTTATTTTTTTTGTCCCAGTTTGTTATACTAGTCTTTCCAAAAAAGAAAAAAAAAAGTTGGCACTCAATACTGAGCAGCCAACATGGTTACTCTTTAACTGTATACACACCAAAGATCAGATTACTGTCTACTGTGTGAGAAAGAATTTATCAAAACCTCATTCTTACATTGGGAGATTGGTGGTAGCCTGGTCCCAGAACTTTTCCCTGTTGTCTTCTTTTATTTGTGGATACAGCTTTGTAGAAATCCAACAAGCACCCTCCAGCTCCAGTTGAGGAATTTTAAGGGCTTGTTCCCACCAATTGTGGTGCGTTCCAGAGCGGTAGACGCACAGCAATCTCACACTAAACATCCCCCTTCATTCTAAGGCGGGAGGGAGCGTGGCTGTGCATTGAAGTCAATATCACCGCAGCCAGGCCCACCACCCGCAGTGCGATTGGACGTGTGGCAAAACAATGCCTGGGTTGCGTTACACTGCGAAAGCAAAAAATGCTTCATGCTCCATTTTTTGCGTTCGCAGTGGACCGGAACGCAGGCAATGTTGTGCCACACGCCCCATCGCACTGCGGGCGGGGGGACGGGGCTGCTGTGCCATTGACTTCAATGCATTGCCATGCCCCCAGAACGAAGGGGGAAGTTTAGTGTGCAATTGCTGTGCGTTCCAGCAACTACCGCTCTGGAACGCACCACAATTGGTGTGAACAGGCCCTAAACAAATATCTTAACCACTTCCTGTCCGGAGCAATTTTTTATTATTTGCGCACACATGATAAAATATAAATGTATTGCTAGAAAACCGCTTCAAACCCCCAAACAATGATATATTTTCTGAAAGCAGAGGCCCTGTAGAATAAAAAAATGCCAGTTTTTTATGTTGCACGGTATCTGCGGAACTGTTTATCACACCAGTATTTTTAGGATAAAATAAACTAAATTAAAATCTAGTGCACATAAACAGGATATAATTTCCCAATTTTTTTTGTAAAATATGAAAGATGGGGTCATGTCGGGTAAATAGATACCAAACCCAAAATTTGTCATAGGGAACACTAAAAAACATTTTTACCGCTCACCAATTTAGCGCTAACAGTGATTGATGGCTCTAGAAGTATTGCTCTCCCCCCGACGTTCGCGGCGATATGTAACATGTGTAGCGCAATTGTCATGCGTATTTACGTTTATATGTGTGTAAATGTGGGGGTGAGGTATCACCTTCTTTATTATTCCCAAACTGGAGCTGAATGGTGCTTTAAAACCTTCAATAAAGCTTTCCAAAAGCTCTGCCAATGCTCTGTAATAACTCACTGTTTATGCTGTTCTTACGCAAGCTAAAGCTTGTGTGAACTGGGCCTTAGTGCATAATTGTGTTCTGGTGAAAAGCAGAAATGAAGTGTGCCTGCATCTGATTGCCAGCCTACTACAAAAATTAGTTATACCTGGCTGCACCTTACCATCTACTCTATATGTAATGACTGTTGACTGTCCATAAATAAAACCTATTAAACCTAAAGATGAATGGCAGAGAAAGGGACTAGAACCAATTTGGATGTGTATAAATGGAAATCAGCTTGTGGCTAGGGCAGCCTAAATTAATAATACAGGCCAGTTTAAACGCAATCACATATACTCGCTAACAGGAACATAACACTTCAATAACCCCAAATCACATGATATATTCCACATACATGTTCATACCTGGGATCCTGACGACATACTGATCCATAGTGTCTTTCACTTCTGTTTGCCAAAAGCGGGGTGCTTGAATGAGCTGGCCATTTTACCCATACAGCCAGGGTAGACTAGAATAAAAAAAATAATAATCAGATGCTGTGAAATATTCCATAAGATTTTACAGTTTTGAGTTAGAGAAGCAAGTCTAAATTTAGTAAACTAATAGGAAAATGCATAGGAAGAGTCATTTATAAGAGTTAAGCTAAAATGACTGCCCTAAAATTTGTTCTTCTATTTCTGGCATGCATGGTTGTGTGTAATTGGTATTTATGTATGTATGTCTGTTGTGTGTATGTACGTGTATATGAATAATGGTATGGTGAATGCGTATGGTTACTTCTACTTAAAATCTTTCACATATTGTTATCCTTAGATAGAGATATTTAGGGGTCTATTCACTAAGCTGCCGAGGGCAGCCGAGTGAACAACCGACCCCAAGTGAAGTGAGCCGAACACTGTTCGGCTATTCACTTCAGGCTGGTAAGGCTGATTTCAGCCGATGTACGTCGGCTTGCATCTTGCATTGTATACATCGGCTTGCTTCACGTGGCTTTGTGTCGGCCGAACATGCTCAGCATGTTCGGCCGACCCAAAGTGCAGCAGGAGTTCGACTCAGCCGATCCAACATCTGGATTTCTCATATTACAGACATCCCTGAAGATAGTGCTAGCCGCAGCCCCCGCCCCCCCGCCTGCACGCACGCCCTCCCTGCCCGCCCACCAAACCATTACTGAGCCGAGCTCTTCATCATCCTGTCTACAATGCGTGGACGGCAGAGCGGACAGCTGCAGGCAGGTAAGACATCCCCCCGAAAATAAGACCTAGTGTCTTTTTTCGTAGAAAAAAAAATATAAGACACTGTCTTATTTTCGGGGAAACACGGTATCAGTGACAGCTAGCTCCGCCCTGTTCGGGAGCTGTATGGGCTATTGTGAATAGCCCGTACAGCACCCCTTCGGTTCTACTGAACCGAAGGGGTCCTGGGGCCGTAGCCAGCCAAAGGATCGGCGGAAGCTACGTCTAGATCCTTCCGCTGCTTCGTGAATAGACCCCATAGAGATAGACAGATATATATAGATATAGAGAGAAATAGAGAGATAGAGAGAGAGAGAGAGAGCGCATCTATAATGGGAGACTGAGTCAGGAGTAGGAGGTTGGGAACCGAGATTGCCGATCTCCTCCTATCCTTAGCCATCCTAAATGTTTTCATAGAGAACCCAGGCTCATTGAGGAGCCCGATTAACCACCCACATGGCTGTGTATTCACTTGTAGAACAGATTACTTCTACAGTGAAACAGACCGTGGGCATGATTACTATTTTGGCTGCAAGTTTTTCATCCTTCCACTTCCCTGACATAACAGAGCTATGGCAGTGGTGGTTAAAGGGTTAATCACACCCATGATTTGATTGGTAACTGATCAAATATTCCAGGCCCCCCACATCAGTCTGTAGCTCCCACTTGGAAATCAGAGCAATCTCCACAGGGTGTTGCCGCTGCAAACTTTGAAAGTATATTAATGGAGAACTATGAGGTGAGTGATTTTCACTCACCTCATAGTTCCAGCCGACCTGTGACATACCCGCGTTCTCTCACCTCTCGATCCTGTCACGGCTCTCTGCCTTGACAGGGGAGGGGCTGGATTCCCCCCTCCCCACTCCGCCAGCGCTGACTGGCGGAATGGACGGGGGAGGGGGCGGGTACAGCTTTCTCTGCCTCTAGATAGGCAGAGCCAGCTGTCAGTCACGCAGCTGGGCGGATCCCGGCACAATTGTCGGATCCGCATCAGCTGCGGCGTCTCAGTATACCGCGAGCAGCAGCTCGCGGTATACTGAGCCTAGGGTGACGGGAGGACGCTAGTTTGTGTCCTTCCGTTACCCTAGGGAGAACTATGGGGAAAATCCTTAACCCCATAGTTCTCCTTTAACATATCTTCTGCATGGGGCATCATGCAGTTGAACATTATTAAACAGATTGTGGATGGAAAGGGGTTAGACCAGTGGTTGCCAACCTCCAGCCCTCCAGCTGTGGTGAAACTACAAATCCCATGATGCATCTCTCTCTGGGAGTCCTGTCTGCTGCTGAGAATCTTGTAATGCCTCATGGGATTTGTAGTTCCACCACAGCTGGAGAGCCGGAGTTTGGCTACCCCTGGGTTAGACAATTGGAATGATCAGAATCTCTACTCTTGAAATACTGTGAATATGCAGCCTTAACATTAAGCTGTTTTCTTAGTAATTATGAATGTGTACTCAACCCCCCCCCTCCTCACTGCCCAAAGGAACTGTCCAAGAAAACTAGAAGCAGGAGACCGGTCAGGGGAATTACATTTTGGCACTGAGCAAATTGACAGGAAGACAATTAAAGTGAATAACAGTACACACCTATCCCTAAGAGATGAGGCTGCACTATAATCACAACTTAGGAATGGAGATTCAGATTCTCATTAGAGTACTCAGGACTAGTTCCTACGTAGGAAGAAGGGTCATAAATGTACATATTTGCCAAGGTAGAATATTCCAGTTCTAAGATTTGCATTATTGATTAGTAGCGCCAAATAACGCATAACTGTCTTACTGAGCACTCGTCTTCGGAGGTCTGGATGCAGCCAGATTTGTCATTTCTCACACAGCAAGCAGAGTCTTTTTCTTTCTCTCTCTTCTCCTGAATTAATCTGTAAACTTGCAGATCTTGTTTCATGCATGGAGAAAATTTTGCCCCAAGATGTATTAAGTCTTCCTGAAAGAATTCAGAATACAGATATAGGTGCAAACCTATTAATGTAATACATATTTTGTGTGAACTATGACTTGCAAGTGCCTGGACTAAAAAAGATATTTAAGTAAATACATTTTAAATGCCATCAGATTTATTTTTCATGTAAAGTAATGGGTCAGTGTTCCACTTTCAGGTATTGATTTCCTCTCACAGCGATCACAGTACTCCTCTAACAATGCTTTCATCTGCTTTTATTTCCAGAAAGACTTGAAAATTGCTTCCCCCTCCCTGCAGCAGACTGATTACATCATCTCAGCTTAGGAAAAGCCACTGACTAGAGCCCGGGAATGGCTTTTTAATAACTAAGGATGGATCATCACTGAAAAAATAAACTGTTGCTGTATTTTGTGACATGTAAGGAATTTCATCATGGACACTTGTAAGCTTATTGCCAGGTGCACTTTAATATCTAGGCTGTTGACAAACTGGTTTCATAGGAACCATAACTGTTACTTAAACATAATTCACAAATTCTAAAGGTGGCCATACACTTTACAACCATCGCAAGACCTTAGTCTTGCGATGGTTGCAAAGTGATTAAAAAAACTTACAATCTGCCCATCTTGGGTAGGCAGATCGCACTCTCGATCATCGCAAGCCCGCCCCCCATGAGGGGCGGGCTTTCGATGACCATAATGCTGAACGGGCAGTGTGCACGTGCGCACACCGGCCCGTTCGGCAGTTGTCTCCTGAGCACCGTTCAAACCAGCCGAAAATCGTACGTTTCTAGGCTGGTTTTCTAGCATGCTCCTTAGACAAAAGACGTGCGACCGTACAGTAGAAACGGTCGCACGTCTTCGTTCACACTGCTCGATTCTCACACGATCGTGGGATTTCCCGCGATTCTCGTACAAGAATCGTGCAGTGTATGGGCACCTTAAGGAGTCACAAGTAACTAATAAAAATCAATGAGCGGAATTTATCAAAACAGTAGCAGACAAAATCTAGAGCAGCTGTGCACAGCAACCAATCAGCTTCTCTCTTTCATTTTCAAATCTTAACTGAACAAACTGAAGAGTGAAGCTGATTGGTTGCCATGCACAGCTGCACAAGATTTTGTCTGCTCCAGTTTTGATAAATTCCCCCCACTGTGTATTCATTGCATACTCGCTGCAGATTCACTCAAAATGTTTCTATACTTCAATAGTTTGAACATTCATAAACATCACGTTTACCTTCAGATTGAGAAATTGAATGCACACCCATTACCAACGTCACCCAAGAGCTGGTGTGATGAGAAGGCATTATGCCCGCCTAAACTGTATTAGGTGACTTCCCAGCAGAAAACAACTCAAAATTGCTGGATCCGTTTCTAGCCTCTTCAATTTTTGCACTGCAATCCCCTGCCCTGCATGAAAACCCCCTTCAGGGCCTGTTCACATGATATCAGGTCCTGATCAGGTGCGGATCTGCAGACTGATGCAGTGCGTTTTTGCCACGTTTTTGATGTGTTCCAGTAAAGAAAAGTGGGAGTGGGGCTGTTAGTATGTTAGCTGCAGTGCTTTTTGGACGCGTTTAGGGCGCGTTTGCGTTTCCTGACCGTACAAAATGTGACATGCAGTATTTTTCTGTCGTAACCTGAACGGACTGCGCACGTGGGAACTGGAGCCCATAAAACACATAGGGATACATTGGGATGCATTTTGAGTGCAGCAGCGTACGGATCAGGTCAGCACACAAAACGGACGTCGTGTGAACAGGCACTCAGTACTTCACATTGCTTATTTTATCCCACTACTTCTTATGAGCAATATAAAGTAGTTTTATATATACTTTCTTTAGTACAGTCAAGACCAACAAATAAAATGTAAACAAAAATATTTTTTTTTGGTTCATATGTAAATATAGTATATTTTTATTTGAAAGCTGAACGTCAGAAATAATCCAAAGATGAAATGCATATAAGGGAGATATTCTCAAATTGAAATAATATAAACACTTACAGAATTTGGTCCAATCCAAAAATTTTCTTGCTGTATGTACCTTACGTTTTCATAAACTCCTTTGTTTCGCAAAACCTGGAAAGAACATATTTATTTTTAAAAACAGTTGGCAAAAATTGTGATTTTATGTACTTGCCATGAAATCCTTTTCTTGAAAGTTAAAGGAGAACTATGGGGTTAAGGATTTTCCCCATAGTTCTCCTTAGGGTAACGGGAGGACACAAACCAGCGTCCTCCTGTCACCCTAGGCTCAGTATATAGGGAGCTGCTGCTCGCGGTATGCTGAGACGGCACAGCTGAAGCGGATCCCGACAATTGTGCAGGGATCCGCCCAGCTGCATGACTGACAGCTGGCTTTGCCTATCTAGAGGCAGAGCCAGCTGTACCCGCCCCCTCCCCATCCGTTCCACCAGTCAGCGCTGGCGGATCGGAGCAAGGAGGGGAGAATCCAGCCCCTCCGCTGTCACGGCAGAGAGCCGTGACAGGATCGAGAGGTGAGCGAACACCGGGATGTGTTCGCTCACTTCCCGATTTACTGAGCCGATCTGTGACAGTCTCATTGTCACAGGTCGGCTAGAACCATGAGGTGAGTAAAAAGCACTCACCTCATACTTCTCCTTTAATTGAGGGACACAGGATTCATAGGCAATAGGATTATAGTGCCACCCATAGGAGAATTTGGACACTGACAAACAAAAAAAACAGTGACTAATCTGGTATAACCCCTTCCACTCCCTCCCAAAGGTGGGACCTTTGTCTCTCAATGGACGCCTAAGACAAGAATTTTTATGGTGAGTACAAAAATCCAATTTTCTTTCTCCTTCATTGAGAGACACATGATTCAGAGATAAGTGGGATAAACAAAATCATTCTAACTGAAGGACGGGTAACACAGCAAACAAAATGCTAACAGGCCAAACTAAAATGACAGAAAAACATCTGTGGACTGCCTGCAGCTCACAAATCTGGGAAACACACTTTTTGGTGTCTTTGGTGTCTTTTTTTCAACCTGACTATGTAAATATGTAATGACAGGAAAGTGTGAAACCCGATATTTAAGACCATAAGTTTGAATTCTGATTTCTCTGAGCCTCCAAAAAAGGTGGAAAAAGAAGCTGGTTCCCCTTTTCGGGGGCCATCAAGAGTGACAAAGAGGGAGTTAATTTTTCTCATGGAATCAGGGGCTACGAGATAAGACACACAAAGCCAAACAATGAAGGGGACTTGTCTTCTGATGTACTAGGACTTGACTGAAGAGTCTGAGTCTTGGAGAATGTTTTTTCTGGTGGATGGAAAACTCAGGCTCGAGTCCAGGATCGGACCCAGATAGTGCAAGCTATGCGTTGGTTCCAATGCAGACTTCTGAAGGATCAGGATGTGAACTGTCCATATGACATTGTTGGTCAGGACCTGTGCCAACTTTTCTTTCAACAGGATGTTGTCCAAATACTTCACAGTGGGGAAGCCCAGAGGTCATAACAAGACAAGCACAGCAGCTAGAACTTTGGTGACTATGCAGAGTGCACAAGAAAGACAGAAGCGCAGTCTTTCTTAAGCAAACAAATCACTGATGTGCTGGAAAAATAGGAACATGCAAGTATGTGCACTTGATGTCTACTGAAGCCAGAAATGCTCACTGATATAGGGAGACTATGACCAATTGGGTGTATTCCATTTTGGAGTAAGTGAAGGCCTTGCGATCCCAGAAGGGGCACATGCCCTCTTTGGCTTTGGAATTGTGACAAGATTGGAATATGACAATAAATACTAACCTTGTTGCACTCCTTACAGAAAAGTCCCTTGTAGTTGGTGGTGCTTGCAGTGACTGCGGATGGCACCGCAAATATCATCAAATTGTAGAAATGTCACCAGCACACCAGTCCTTTTGGGATAGGAAAAGTTTCATTTATTGAAGTTCTTTGTTCATATGACAAAGAACTCCAATAAATGAAACTTTTGCTACCCTAAAAGAACTGGTGTGCTGGTGACATTTCTACAACTTGCTGATATTTGCGGCGCTATCCGCAGTCACTGCGAGCACCACCAACTACAGGGGACTTTTCTGTAAGGAGTGCAACAAGGATAGTATTTATTGTCTGATTTGGCATACTTGTTCTGCACCCCGATTTTTTCAAACTATTGTAACCCTGGCTATGGGGTTAATTGTATGAACATTGACGGACATATCCTCAGGCCTACAGGCCATTGCTGCATAATCTGTGTTACCCATGGATCATGAGAATGAAAAAAGTCCACTGACACAAAGCAGAAGTGGACTTTCTTATACCCGGGAGAAAGTTGAAGCTATCCTTTTTCCCTCAATACCACCAAAGCATTTGGATCCAATACACCTATAGATCTACGCAGAGAGATCAAACGCCTAAAGAAAAGAAAAAGGAGATCGATCTTGAACTGCATGGTCAGACATTATCCGAGTACTACCGATCTCAGAAAATACTAAGAGGCTTCAGAATAACCAATCAGCCGAAGATTGGAAGAAATAAACGTGAATTCTGTGAGCGCTGGTGTGAGGTCGCTACTCAGAACTCATTAAATTTCATGCTACTGATGATCGAAGAGGTAAAGATTCAGCTCTGCCAAGTGAATAGAGAACTATCAGCTTTGCATGCAACAACCCAAAAAAAATACACTAATAAGGAACCCCTGAACCAGGGGCGGACTGACAACATATGGGGCCCCATATAAAACCCACCCAATGCATTATTACAAGGGGTGGGCAAATTTCATTCCCCTAGCTGTGGTAAAACTACTAATCCCACCATGCATCTTAACGTGGGAACCATGCATATGCAAAAGTCTTACAATGCATCATGGGTCTTGGAGCTCCACCACAGTTATGGAGCCAGAGTTTGCCCACCCCTGAAGATCCTCTACAGTTTAGGAATGATTGCTGTACACACCAACGCATGGCAGACCACACACACAAAACACATAAGGCCTGACTCACACTGGGCGTACATGTCCATGCAGCATGCACGCCTGTAAACAGCTGATCCCATGAGGGACAAGTGCTGCGTGTGGTTGCGCTCAGCAGCCTGTTGTTCCCTATGGGAGGACACGGCTGTACGATGTCATACGGACACCTGGACTTCACATCTATGTGGGTACGGGGGTCCACACTTGTACGCAGACAGGATCCATCACAGGTGTGCACAACCCATGGACATGTGCGCCCATTGTGAATGAGGCCTAATACACACATAATACACACACAATACACATAGTACACACACAATACAGTACACGCAATACAGGACAAACGCAATACAGTACACACAATAAACATTCAATACAGTACACAATACAGGACACACAATACACACGCAATACAGTACATACAATACACACGCAATACAGGACTTGCACTACAGGACACACAATACAGCCGCAATACAGTACACACAATACGCACACAATACAGGACATGCAATACAGGACACACACATGTGTATTGCAATACAGGACACACACTACCGTACACACAATACACATGCAATACAGGACACACACAATACACATGCAATACAGGACACACACAATACACACGCAATACAGGACACACACAATACACACGCAATACAGGACACACACAATACACACGCAATACAGGACACATACAATACAGGACACATACAATACACAGGCAATACAGGGTACACAATACAGGACACATGCAATACAGGACACACAATACACATGCAATTTAGGACACACAATACACATGCAATTTAGGACACATAATACACATGCAATGCAGGACACATAATACACATGCAATACAGGACACATAATACACATGCAATACAAGACACACACACAGCATCGCTATTCAGCCTGTTCATAGTTCAAGCAGCCAGGGGAGGAAGAGAGGAGAAGCCTGAGACATGGAGAAGAATCCCCCACCCCCCACTTTGCTCTCGGCCGGAATGTATAGTGTATAGGAGCAGCTGTGAGTGCAGGAGAGCTCCTCATACCTGCTGACAGCTTGCCTCCTCCGTCCTCCAGTCGTATCCTCTCACTCCCATGTAATTCTCTGCCCGACCGTCTAGGCCCCCCTTCCCCGGCGCCCTCAGGTGCCCTGGCAGTGCCTGCAGAGTGGTCAGTGCAGGGAGGGAGAGGGGTATCGTCCACCCCGGCTCAATAATATTATATGCCCCCCCATAGTTTCGGCGCTGGCAGGATGTGTCTGTGTCCTAGCCCATGCTGGGTTTGGTCCCCGCTCGCTCGCCTGCTCACTTCATGTGATGGGTCAGTCCGCCCCTGCCCTGAACAGAGATTTGAACAGAATTGAAGAAGATTGGAATATGATCCCTGAAACCTTTCCAATACAGGAACTGGGATGATAACCCCTTGCTCCAGAAGACCCTTAAGGGTTATATGAAAGTCTGCTTGTCTGAGCAGTGACAGGGGAAGATAGGAGGATATGATGCAAGCAAAGGGTAGGGAACGGAACTATAGTTTGTAGTCTGTTGAAACCACCTCCGAGGCATCTGAGATGCTGTCAATCAAGACGACCACAAAGGCTAACAGATACTGCTCACTTTTGAATATGGGGCCGCCCCTTTATGCCGAGAAGACATTGTCTGCAGCTTTGAGGGCCCAGGGTTTGCAGTGAAACTTTGCTTTAGAGGCTGAGGACTTGGAATAATGAAAAGACATCTTCTTGGTGCCAGAGTGGGGGTGATTTTTCCGAGCCTTAGGCCTAGGCTTCTTCCGCTGGGGTGGAAGAGTAGCAAAAATGGTTAAACCTTTCTCAGTAGAGAAAAACTCAATCCTCCTAGGACACTGGCAAGAAATGAGGCATGCCTCGAGTAGGAGAGGTTATACCAGATTGTTCACTGATTTTTTGTTTGCCAGTGTCTAAACCCTCCTGTAGGCAGCAGCATAACCCATTTGTTTCTGAATCCTGCATCCCTTTCTTAACATTATAAAGAACACAAGTCTAAAAAGGTTTATTTATATACTAAAGGCAGACAACTTTAGATATCCAAATATAACTAATTAACATCTATTTAAGATGCAGGGAGAGTTGCTAATATGCAGATTAACTGACTCTCTAGTCT